GTGCCATGGCAGTTATGCCATGGCACAGAGGTAAAGTCCCCCAGCACCACCTTCTGGAATCGGCCGTCGAGGTAGGAGTGGAACCACTGCCAAGCAGTGCCTCCTACTCCCAGTCCCCTTAGCCTATCCAGAAGGATACCATGGTCAATGGTATCAAAAGCCGCTGAGAGGTCCAGGAGGACCAACAGGGACAAACTCCCCCGTCTCTCTCCCTGCACAGGTCATCATACAGGGCGACCAAGGCAGATTCAGTACAATACCTGGGTCTGAAGCCGGACTGAAATGGGTCCAGATAATCAGTCTCATCCATGAGAGCTTGGAGTTGTCCCTCCACCACCTGCTCCAGCACCTTGTCCAAAACCGGGATGTTGGCCACTGGTCTATAATTGACGGCCATCTCTGGATCCAGGGACGCCTTCTTTAGGACCAGCCTGACCACCGCCTCCTTTAGAGGGGCAGGCACCTGGCGGTTCTTCAAAGAGGCGTTGATGACCTCCCAGATCCAGGAACCAATCCCATATTTGGCTTTGGATAGTAGCCACGATGGGCAGGTGTCCAGTACACAGATGGTGGTACGTACTTGTCCAAGCACCTTGTCCACGTCATCAGGCCGCAATAACTGAAACTCATCCAACAATGTGTGACCAGATGGTAACATTGGCACCTCCCCTAAGGAATCTGAGTCACTAGTGGAGTCCAGTTCATGACGAATCTGAGCGACTTTCTCCTTGAAGTACTGGGCAAAGTCGTCACAGCAGGTTATCAAGGGTGGTACAAGATCTTTCTTGGGGCCTGGCTGTACCAGCCCCTGTACCACCTGAAAAAGTTCCGCTGGACGGCACTGTGAGGAGGCGATAGAAGTGGAGAAGAATTCTTCTTTGCTGCCCTCACTGCCACAGCATAGATCCGATAATGGGCTCTTAAGTGTGTTCGGTCAGATTCATCCCGTGATTTCCTCCACCTACGCTCTAGTCATCTCCCAACCTGCTTCATCACCCATAATTCAGGTGTGTACCAAGGGGATGAACGGGCTCTGCCCGGCGGGAGAGGACGCTTAGGAGCGATCGTGTCAATAGCTCTGGTCATTTCCCCTTTCCACAGTCCAACCAGAGCATCAACAGGAGCGCCAGCTTTATCAACCGGAAACTCCCCCAGAGCTTTCAGGAATCCATCCGGATTCATCCGGCTCCGGCTCCGAGGGCGGACCCATACAATAGGGTCCACACCCTTACAGAGGGAAAGGCTGCCATCGAGCTCAAACCTCACGAGGAAGTGGTCTGACCATGACAGGGGAGTTGGACACAAATTCCTCACCCTCAGATCACCCTCTTCCTGTCCCGTCGAGAAAACCAGGTCCAGCGTGTGTCCACGTTCATGGGTCGGGCCAATGACATATTGAGACTTCATGGAGTCCATGAAGTTCTGAGCCGCCCCGGTCAGATCAGTCTCGGCATGGAGATTGAACTCCCCCAGGACCAACATCCTGGGAGTCTTCAACACCAGGTCTGAGACGATCTCTGTCAGTTCAGGCAGGGAGTCTGTTGGGCAGAAGGGTGCACGGTACACCAACAGAATCCCCACTCTGTCTCGGTCGCCCAACACCAAGTAGAGGCACTCTAGACCTGGTCTCAAGAGGACAGGAAGCCCCGCAAGGGAAAGAGGCTTGATGAACTAAAGTGACCCTCCCTCCCCACCCCCCAGGCATGGCCGATGCTGAACCAGAAACCTGGGCGCGGGCACAATTGAGAGAGGGATATGTCCCCCCCCACCCAGGTCTCTGTGATGCAAGCCAGGTCGGCCCCCTCATCCACAATTAAGTCGTGGATGAGGGATGTTTTATTATGGACCGACCTGGCATTAAGTAACAGCACCGTCAGGCCCGAGGGGCAGCTGATAAGCATACCCGGAACCTAACGGCTGGGGGAATAACAAGAAGGGGGGACAGGTGTCAACCATCTGTCCCTCCTTCTTCTGTGCAGACCCGTTAAACCCCCAACGCCATAACGCCCATTGCCCATAACCACCCCAATGGCAGCGCCCACGCGCTCCCCAGGCAACCCCATAGAAGCAGCCAAGTGTGAATCCATTAGAAACAGATAAAACCAGATAAAAACAATTAAAAATAATAAAACCTCGCCACCCCCGACAGCAAATTAAGGAAGCCGACCCACAGAGTCCCTAGCCAGCCCAGCCCCCAAACGGCGTCACCGCCCTTTGGCCAACGTCCTTCGGCTGCTGGCCCAAGGCCGCCAGCCCCAGTCCTGGCGGGCGAGTTAAAGCCCGCGGTGGCTTCTCTTTCGCACCCCGCCCCCTGAGCGGCGCAGCTCTCACCCATGCCGGGGGGGGGGGCCGGAGCAGGGCACGTGGAGCACTTGCCGGCAAGGTGGTGTAGGTGGGCCCGCAGGCCGGCAGTGTCCCAACAGCGGTCTTCCGGCGGCGGCGCAGCAGGTCTTCTCGGGCGGCGGGGGTGGGCAGTCCGTCCCTTCCGCGGTGCTGGCTCGGTCCTGGCCGGCGAGTTAAAGCCCGCGGTGGCTCCTCTTCTGCACCCCGCCCCCTGAGCGGTGCAGCTCGCACCCTTGCCGAAGCACTCATCGGCAAGGTGGTGCAGGTGGGCCCGCAGAAATCAATTATATTCTGGCAAAGGGTGGGCTAATTAATGCACAGTTTCCTTCCAAGTTGTGTAAACTGGCCCTCTACAGGGGAACATTCCTGTCTGGCATTGCTCCCTGAAGAAATAGCACTCTGCATTAGTTGATAATTCTAACTGCCTAGTTATAACTAGGTATAAAAGTATAACTCATACTTTTAAAACTGCAGCATATATAAAGAAAATCCTTTGCAACAGATAAATAGCAAGAAGCTGCACTTAAATTTAAAGTCTTAATTAAATGAGCCAGGTGCCCATTAAACAAATGTTTTCACTCCAGGTCAGAAGGCAAACCAAAGATAGGACTGGATGAACCTCCCACAAGAAGGTTGCTTCAGTGCTTTGGTGTCACATTGGAATAAGACTTTCATGTATGCCCATTGCTAAGCTTGTGGTTCAGGAGGTTCATGCAGGAGGGCCACTAAGTGTTAACGTGGTGTTCAAGCAGGTTTATATAGGAAAGAAAGGGCACTATGGGGATAAATTATCTTATGTTTGAATTCACTGTTTCTCTTAGCGTATAAAGTAGATCTCATGTCTAATTGCCATACCACTTTTTTAAAACTTAGGTGTACCAAAAGCAGTTAGGATACTCTGGCAGTCTGTTCTGACAAAAATGTTTTTTAAATACATTGGATGTGCATAGGCCTTTCTGGATCCTATGCACAGTTTATTGCTGATAAAATTGTCATCTTCATGATTATGAATGAGCCAAGAAGAGTAAATGTAAAGGAGTGAATATGACTTGGTTTTAAGCTGCTGTGTATATTGTGTCCGGCCAAAATAATCAGCTTTGAAAGCCTCTTAAATGGGACCTGGTAGGAAAACCTGGTAGGAAATATTGTTATTTCTTGTATTTTAATTTATGTTGTGAGCCGCCCCGAGGCTTCGGCGAATGGGGTGGCATAGAAATGTTTTAATAAATAAATAATAAAACCAGTTTACCAGACAAACATTCTGCATTTTAGCCATGCAGAAGATATGGAACTTTGTATACATAAATGCAAATTGGCCCAAATTTGTAAAGATAAGAAAAATGAAAGGAGTTTTAAAAAGTTTGAATCAATATAAAATTGCTTAAGAGTTCACGTTTTTGTTTAGAGGGAAAGCCATGTCCTGGAACTATACAGTAGAATGTTATTATTGAATAGCTTTAAATTGTTTAGAGTTCTGTGTGCTTTTTTTTAAAACAGCACCCATTTGTTACTGTAACTTCCAATAAACCAGTCAGAGAATTGATTGCTGAAGCAAAGGCTGAAGTCACAGAAGAAGTAGAGGATGGAAAAGATGAAGATGAAGAGGAAGAATCTGAAAATTCTCTTGTGAGTAAAAACCTATCCTTTAGAAAATATTTAACTTAAATTGTAGTCCAATAATAGAATTGAATTGTGGTTATTACTTTGACCTGTTGAGTAAGTGACGTCGATGGCTTATGTGAGATTGCCTGCCTTATCTGACATGCTTGCGATTTTGTAACACAATTTTGATTAAGATGCTGAAGGGAAATCAAAATGCAAAATAGGTAAGTTTCATGAAAGAATTAACTTCAGTAAAGAATAAAAGTATAATCTGTAACTTCACAATGATAGATTTTCCAGTAGTGAATATACATGAAAGTTCATTGTCATTGTTCAAGCTAAGAGTACTTCCTCCTAGTGCTGATCAACATTTATTTCCAATCATTATCAAAATGGGCTTGCTTGCCCTGGCTTTTCCCACCATGAACTTGTCTAAATGCTACTGTGTTTTTATAATGCTGATGCATTCTATAATTTGTTGCAAATGGTTTCAAAATTTTAACATTGAAAAGTGATATATAAGTATTAGTCTATGCCATTTCAATTCTTATGTTTACATGCTCAAATATGTTACATTTTTAAAATATTTCTAATTTTTTGTAAATTATTAGTAAACAAAACAAAAGCATCAAAAGAAAAAGTTGCCAAGGGACCACACACCAAATTTGCTCGTAAAACCAGATTCAAGGAATCAGTACGAAACATTGGTTTATCTAAACCTATAACTACAGTTTTATATGATAACACATAATTATAGATAATGCTCAGCTTAGTAAGTAACCAAATAAGACAAAGAAAATTGCTTAGTTTAACACAGACAACGAGTAAGCTTTGATTCATCCCGGAGCATATCCAGAAACCAGACAAGAATTAAAGAGGATTCCCCCTTTTTTCTCTCCCTCTCCACTCCCTACTCATTTTTCCTTCTCCCCTGAATGTGTTATATGTTCTAGAAAACCATGAGCAGAATCGTGTTGCACAATGTGACTTTCCCACCAATGTCTCCCAATTGGCAACCCCCCTTACACTTCTTAAAAAATCATTGCCAAGGATCAGCGGGCTCACAGCTGATAACAGAGAACAAGAAAAAAAACAGAAGGGCTTCCTGCTTCCACAAGGAGATCTCTGTGTCCTGTCCAGGATATATTACAGTTGCAAAAGACCAAGTTAGCCATTGTTAAATTGCCCTGTTCATTATACTTAAGAGTCATGTAGTGATATATGTGACTATGTAGCTCACAACCTTTACATCCCCTCTGTGACCCATTTCAAAAGGATAGTCCTGAAAATGGAATTGTTAATAATTCATAAAATGCTTAGAGTAGAAACTCTAATGTAATTAGAGCAGAAATTAATGTAATTATGCTTAGGTGGGTATAAAAACTTAGTAATGTTAATTCCTTATCACTAAAATGTGTAACTAATTATGTTTCCGTGCACACTTTTAGCAGTTGCCTGCAAATAAGCGAGCCTCTTCTGACCTCAGCATTGCTAGTTCAGAAGAAGATAAACTTTCACAGAATGCCTCTATCCTGGAATCTGTTTCGGAAAAAACTGAGCGTTCATCCAGAGATGAGTCTTCTAGCAATGGACTTGAAGGTAAAAAGCTGGATGTAGAGCCTGACAAGATTGAAAATGAGAAAATAGCTGAACCAGGAAGTGACACCACACAGGCAGAAACTGAAAAGCTGCAGAATGGATCTATGTTACTGCATGAAGATGAGGAAGTAAAGAAACTTGATGTTGAAAAAAGTTCTCAAAATGTATTATTAAATGAAGATACTGGATCTGAGAAAGAAGAAGAAGAAATTGGTAGAGTAGTATCTGAAACTAATATTATGCCCAGTGCAAAAGCAGAGAAAGAAAATCAATCAACAACAGAAAGCAAACAAGAAATAACACCTGACACTGAAGGCATAACAGAAGTGATTTCTAAGGAGACTGGTGTGAAAGAAGGAGGAGGAGGAAATAGCATAGATCTTCAAGAAAAGATAGCCATAAAGGAAAAGTCTTCAGAAGGAATTAAAGAGGGTAAGGAATTGGAAGAAGATAACAAAAGTGAAGAAAGTGGCCTGAAAGAATTTGAAGGTGAGAAAAATGAAGTGATTGCTGGTACTGAAGAGTCGTGTGTGACAGGTACAGATGAGTCAGTTGGTGAACTGCAGAAGCAAACAAAAGACGATATCAGTAGTTCTAAAGGGACAGGCAGTTGTACTGAAGCTTTGATCATGGGTGCAGATAAAGTGCTTGGAAGTGCTGAAGAACCACCACAGAAAGTCACCTCTGAAACTGTTATTAAAAATGAGGATGGGATGATGGATTCTGAACAACAACTGACTGAGAAATTTACTGAACACTCTAATAAGACAAGTACCACAAAGGAAACAGAGGTTGGGATTTCAGAAAGAATGGAAATCATAGAAGAGAAGCCAGTGGAAAATGACTCTAAGCTTGTGGAAGAAACAAGGAACACTGAGGAAAGCAACATTGCACTTGAGGGTAAAACTGCAGAATCTGAACAAAAATGCAAAATTGTAGCTGAAGAAAATCACAACAATAACATTCAAGGAGGCACAGACCTTACAGTAGCTTCCTGTGAGTTATCAATTAAAAATACACTTGAAAATACTGTAGACAAACAGCCACAGGAACATGAGTTGTCCCCAGTACCTAATATAAGCATTAGCTGTGTAGAAAATGTGACAGAAGATAAATTAGGCCATCAAGAAAATGTGGAAACCTCACAGCATCTTTATTCTGAAACTCCTAAAGAAAATGATGCAGATTCAGGCATGGGCTCCACAGCTGACAACAGCAGCATTGATCTGAATTTGTCAATTTCTAGCTTCCTCACTAAAAACAAGGAGAGTGGATCAATATCTTTACAAGTAAGTGTCAACCATTAGAAGTAGCTTGTGTAGTTAAAAAGATGTACTGCATGACCGTGCAACAACTGAACACCCAAGAATATTTGCAGGATCTTTCCAATGTGTGACAAAGATGCCTGGTTCTATACTCCTAAATGTCTACCTTCTGACTAATTACATAGAAACAGAGCGAGTGAGAAGGGGTCTCCCAGGCCATCTAGTCTGACTCCCAGTTCCAGCCAGCTCTGTTCACGACATGCCCACCATGTACATCAGGCTTTGTCAATCATAACCCAGTTTGTACAGTCAAAGCAGTCCACAGTGGCTTGTATTAATCCCTGGTGTATGCTAGGTTCCATTTCCCTAATTATCCACCTGGGTGCAGCTTACCATGTTGCCTGAACTTGGATGGTATGATTTGTTTGAAAGGGTAGCAACTTTCAAACAACACATGACCTGTTATGGGAGTATTGTTTCCCTCTCAAACAAACTATGCCACCTTGATTCTAACTACATAACAAACTTACCTGGGTAATTAAGGAAATGATACCTAGTGTGAGCCAGGGATTAAAACAAACCATAATGTTTTATTTACGCCACTGTGGTGTGTTTGGTAATGCAAACTGGCCCAATATGTATTTAAGGCTTTGCATCATACTTTGTGCATCAATTATTGTAGTTGCATGTGCTCTATGTACATCATGTTATTGAAATCCTAAACATGCATACTATAGAGCAAGTCCTATTGAACTTACTGGGATGAAGCTTCCTGAATTTAGTGATTAAAGTGTTTATTTCTGAGTAAACAGAATGTTTTAAAATTCTGGTATGCAAGGAAGTGTGCTAGAGGAAGCTTGCTAGGTCTCATTGCCAAGTTGTTCTTACTTTTAGGAGTAACAGCTAAACAAACTGGACCCTTCCACCCATGGTTTAATTAGAATTATCCTCAATACAAAAGCTCTTATCTTTTTTCCCCCTAAAAAAGCCAGAGAAATAATCCATAGTTTGTTCTTAGATTATTTCTCAGGTTTGTCTGAGCTGAGATAAATAGTGTGTCTAGTTCATGTGTAACACCATCTAAACAAAAATACTTTTCTTAGAGCTATTTTTAGCTTTACTGGTTTGCATATCATGATAACCCAGTTTTTTTTTTAAGTTTTAAAAAGTCTGGGTTATTGTGGCATGTGGCAGTTATTCAAGAAATTACGACTATGTTGTTCATAATCCAGTAGTACAGCATGAAGCTATCCTGTTGAAGAAATGAACTCCATTTAAAGAATGTACCTAAACAAATTTCAACTTAAAATCGTCACATGTGAAAAGAAGCAGAAGCCAAATAATGGAATTAAGCTTCCAGAGTAGTGGTAATTATTCTGTAGATTAAAAATCATTTCCTTCAGATTCATAGGCTTTGAGTTCTTCTTTATTTTTAAAATGGATAATGCTGGACAGCTGTTTTTATTTTGTCCAGAGATAATGCACCATTTTTTATTCAGGAAACTAAAAGACACAAGAAAACTTTAAAGAAAACTCGCAAATTTGTTGTTGATGGTGTAGAAGTAAGTGTGACAACTTCGAAAATAGTCACTGACAATGATTCTAAAAGTGAAGAATTACGATATCTTCGGTGAGTTAGAAAATATCTTTTTTAAATGAGTCTCTCTCTCTCTCTCTCAATCTCAATCTCAATCTCAGTGTCTCTCCCCTCCCTCTCCCACACCACACCATATGCACAAATACTAAAATGTGACTGGACTATATTTAAGAAAAAATATTTGCGTTATCTCTTAATAGCCATATAAAATTCAGGCATTCATTTCTTTTCTCACGTTAATTCAGAATTCAGTTGACTCCTTCACCCTATAATGCCATTTCACTTCTTACTCTCAGACGTCAAGAATTAAGAGAGCTACGACTTCTCCAAAAAGAAGAGCAGCGAGCTCAGCAGCAGCTTAGTAACAAACTGTTACAACAACGGGAACAAATGTTCAGACGCTTCGAACAGGAAATGACTGTAAGGTTCAAATTTTTATCCACGCACAAATGCATATATTGTACAGATCCATAATGCTGAGGTAATTTATTAAACAATTTCATGCAAGATCTTTACATGCTGATAGTTTTGAGGCAAATGGTAGGTTTCCAAGGAATGTTGGAAAGCCGCTCTGCAGTTGCCCATCGTCAGTGAGCGTATGTGCTTTCACCATGCTTACTTGCAGCAACACATTTCCCCAACTTATGTGTTGGTGAATTAATTGTTTTTTCCTGCTGCAAGCCCTGAGCCAGTTCTACTCATGTGACCAGTTGTGGCGGACTGTATTTAAATTTAAATATTTAAAATTTAAATTTAAATTTTGGATGCATGCTTTCATTCTGTTATAGGCAAAATTAAATATGTGGAGGGAAATTGAGGAAAGGATGCATTGGCTCAATTGCCTTGGTAATAGGTGCATTGCCTCTCATTTGTGTAACATCCATCTTTTCCTAAATCCTTTTCTTAAAAGGATACAGGCCATTGTCAGTGTGGAACTTTTTTTTTCATATGGTATTTTCTTTTTATTTCAGTACTACTCCTAAAAAAGTGTATCAGACCACATTTAATCTGTTTTTTTCTTGGTGACTCTTTAAATACGTGATGTAGTTACATATAGAAATGCAGGTTCCTTATTCCAGGCTTAGCCCTGCCTTTTTGCAACATGTCAACTCAAGTGGACATAGGTCAGTTGAAATCAAAGCTGCTGTAATAGTGGTGCTGTCTGTAAATTACTTACTGCCAACAGCAGGTGTGCAGAGTGGGGGGTGAAGCTATATCCTTGTTGTACAACTTAAGATTTTTGTGTAGGTAGCAAATCGAAGTATCCTTATCGGCACCTTGCAAATTAGCAATACTCACTTTCTACTTGCAGACAGAAGCCAGAATGTTTTTTTTTTTTAAACTATAGTCAATCTGTTGTGTTGTTTTCATATTTCACCATGATAAGTTTGGCCAAAAAAAGTTTGTGCTATAGTTTATCTATCACCATGGCTTGTCATGTTATCTGAACCCAGCATCATGGCTTTCATGGGCCTGGTATGCAACTACTAGAGAGTTCCCCAGAAAAAACTTCAGCAGTCCAGCCTCTTTGCGCATTAATGCTGATGAGGAAGAAGCATGCAACATAGGCAAAGAGCAATGCACCTTGGGATTGAATTTCAGGTGCAGTGGCTTAAGAGAAGCATGCTAGCATTAGGACTAAGGGAGAATGGAAACCCTAATGGCACAGAAGCCACTTGATTGTTAGTTGGGTAGATTATGGTATAAAACCATGAACCATAGTAGCCACGCAGAATTGCTTGCCATGTTGTGCGAACCCAGTGAGTGAATGCAATTCTGGCAGTATTTCCAAAGTAGCAGAAAATATTTCAAAATATTTCAGGAGCATGGTAGTTCAAGAACTATCATCTTTGCTTTTAAATAAGTAGATATTAGTAAACAATACACAGTGGCCTTCTGGATCTTGACCTATGTGTAATTTCTTTCCTTTTACAGTGGAGGATGATAAAATCTCTTTCTGTTTTCTGTACAGAAATAATTATCTGATACCTGAAATTGTCCCCATTGCAGAAACCACATGTTATAAAGACGAACCACAACTATACTCATAATATACTGCAAATGTTCTTCAAAATATTTAGTCCATATGAGCTCAAAGTGAATGTCACATTGCTTATATTTCTGTAAGCATGTGTGCAAAGCCAAAATAATATTTTTTTTTAGCATTAAGCCCATGGAGACGATTAGGATTCCGCCATCTCAATGTAGTAACATACTATATCAGGGTTAATTCTGAGTTTTAGAGATGAAGGAGAATTGCTTCAGTTTTAGACTTAGAAAATGAATGTGAGGTTTGGAAAGTTCTTGTTTGAGTTGTATAATAGCTCTTGGAAAAGACTTTCTCCGGTTTTTTAAACATTTGGGAAACGGTGAACTGGTATATGTCAAGTTCATAATTTTAATCAGTTTTTATAATATAGGCTGACTTGTCTTTCCTCCTCCCAAGCCCATCAACTCTAGATAAATATCACATTTAATTGAATTGCTTTTCAGAGTAAGAAGCGGCAATATGACCAGGAAATTGAAAATCTAGAAAAACAGCAAAAACAAACAATAGAACGCTTGGAACAGGAGCATACAAATCGCTTACGTGATGAAGCAAAACGCATCAAAGCTGAACAAGAGAAAGAATTGTCCAAATTTCAGAACATGTTGAAAAACCGGAAAAAAGAGGTAACATTTATTCATTTTTTGATGGGAGAAGTACAGTTGATGTTTCTGGTTTCCCGTGATAACTGCATTCCCTGTATAAATTCTGACTTTGTAAAAAAAAAAAAAAAAGATGTATCCCCATTTTATTTTTTAAAAAACAGCAAGTTTATGCTTTTGGTAACTCTTTTTTAATACTGAGAAGACTTTGAGTACTCTTACTGTTCTAAAACAATTATATTAAATCAAAATAGCTGCCTCCTAATTAAGCAAAGAAATTATAGTGGAAAGGCATCTACATCTTTGACTTTTATGTTATACATGTTAACAAAATAAAGCTAAGAAAACTTGGGAATGAATTTCTAACACCTTGATTGCAGTGTCGCTTTTAACAAAGAAGCTTCACCGGTTATTTGGAACAGTAAGAAATGTTACATAGTCAAAACCTGTAATGAAGAGGGAATTTATAACTTGGTTAGGGATTCATTAGGAAGAATTGCTGGAAAACATTGTTCACATTGGCATTTTTGCCTCTTTGGATATTGGCGAAGGATTACACATGATTAGTCTATCTTACTGTATATTATGGGTGCAAAATCACAGAGTAGAATGAGGATTGTTAGTTCATGAAGGGGTTTCCGCAGCAGAATGTGTATACTTTTCTTGTACTTGAATGTGTGTAAGCAAAGTCTGATTTGAGGAATAATCCTGTGCATGTTTAGATAGAAAAGAGACCTGCAACTCTTTGCATGCCTCAGCCGCCATGGAGCTGAAATTTGTAGGCTTTTTTCTATCTAAGCATGTGTAGAAATGAAATTTGTTAACCTTATTTAGGAGGGTTTAGAATTCCATAATACATTCTGTGCTACCAGAAAATTCTAAATCTGCATTCTAAATCAACTCTATTTGCATACATACCAATAGGAAAACTTGTGGAAATTAGGTGTGTTAGAATAGGATGTATTTGGGACTCATATTAACATTTGAAAAATATTGAAGCAGTGATAAAGCAAGAAAAGGCAGATTTTGGTTTTAATTAAGTTCACAAACTGTGTGTTGGATTCAGTTAATTTAACACATAATCAATTTGAAACATTTAGGGTTAGGGGATGAGACAAATGGCTGTAAAAAAAAAATCTGCTTACTCCAGATTGGTTCGGCTTCTAAATCATTTTGCCTACACTTACATCCATGATGGCTAAACATTACTTTGTCAAAGTAAAATCAAAAGAAGGCTGTCTGGTAATTCCTAGACAAATTATCCAGTTTGGTGTGATACACAGTATGATTGCAGATTTCTAGACCCTCTTCTCTGTGTGTGGGTGGGGGGTGGGGGGGTATTAAACCCTGTTTTCTGCCAGTGCTTTTTACACTAAGCATTATGTAATACCAGTATAATACAAAATTTTGTGTTTTTTAATCTGTACAATATTTACTTCTCCTTGCTGAATTCCTTGCACTTTGAGTCTTTACTGGTGAATGGGTCTCAAAAGGGAAAGCTGGTGAAGACATTTAATGCACTCAAAGCAATCATTTTCACAGAAACAGGAAAAGCATGTGGTGATCTGGGCTTTGTTTTCTGTTAGGTCTGTTTGTTAAACAGCCATTTGTTCTTGTATACTTGTGAGCTTTATGGTTCTAGAGTACTTAATCTCTTCATGGGAGTATGAAAATACGCAATCAAACCTTCAATCGATTATTGAATCTTCATTTATTTAATTCTTGACAAGATTATCTTTCAGGTTGTTTGAATTATACAAAAATCATGCATTGCTGAAACATAATTATAAGCTTAATGCCAATGTTATTGAAATGCCTATATAGAAACTGAATACTGATTTACCCTTTCTTACACTATGTAAATTTCCCTCTAGAGATGATTATAACTTTTAAGAAAGTTGTTTTTAGACAACTTGGTTATCATACAGTTTTGGCAGTAGCTGTTTTCTAGTAGTGTTAATCTAAACATCTTGCAGTTTTGGAGCTTTTGCCATTATGGTAAAATCCTTTCCATTATCTCTGCAAGATAATTCCCTTTTTTTCCATTATTGATTGTGATATCACCTCATCAACTGTTTGCATGCAAACTGAAACTAATTTCTAGAATGCAATCGGCATGTGCTTTGAGCATGACTGCTTTTTCCATCCAACTAACTTTTCTGGCTTTGCATGCTTTTTATACCATTTTAATGCTTGACCAGCCCTTCTCATATTCACCATAAATGCTTGCTGTGGCGAAAAAGGGTTATTTTCCCTACCTTCTGCATGCTTGTGCACTGTAGGTTTTTAATGAAGTGGAGAAAGCACCAAAAGAGCTGAGAAAAGAGCTCATGAAACGCAAGAAAGAGGAGCTTACTCAGTCCCAGCATGCTCAGGTAACCTCAGCAGCTTCATGCTTCTAAAAAACCCCAGAGCAGCTTTGTTCACGTTGCTTTTACATTTCATAATGTTCCTTTTCCTGAGTCAATATAATATTTGTGATAATTAAGACTGATAATTTTAAGACTGTAGCTCAGATTTTGTGTCCTTTAAACTTGAGGTGCAATGTATTTGCTATTTTATATAACAGTTATTTGTAGAACTATATCCAAGCTCATTGAAATGTAACATATTAGAGGACTCAAAAGTCCCTTCCTCAGTAAGTGCTGCGAATATAAAACTAATGTCTACCTTGTGCATTTAGCATAACAATATCAAACATGTAAAAGTAGCAAATTGTTTTTATTGTCTTCAGATCATATGATCTTTTACTGTTAAACCCTTTCATCTCAGTGCAGCTGATGCATTATGTTCATCACTAACTGAATGATTAGCATCTTCTGTGTTCAAGGCATGCTACTGCAGTTGGTATATTAGGAATTGAAATAAAACATGTGGCCTGTATAAGGATTTGGGTATGTAAGAATAGTACAAAGAATCATTCAGAAAATTCAGAATTTTCACTTTTTGTTAACATGGTTATCCTAGTATTAAATTGCAGACTAAAATACCAAATATATTTGTGATACCAAAGCATTTCCCCTGCTATTACAGCCTAAAATAATACTTCAGGTATATATTGTTGAAGCAGATTTTATCACAGTTAATGTATCTTTGTATGTACTAACTCCCTATTTTAAATGGTAGCCACTTTTCAAATGAATGTAGCTAGTGCTGTGGCCTATTTGAGGGGCAAGGAAGGAAGTAGGATGTGGTGATTAGTCTGTTGATCTGAGTTCTAGTCCCATTCAGCCAAGAAGCTCATCACACGACTTTGAATCAGTCTAATTTAACTCACATGGTTGTTCTGAGGGGAAAAAAGGAGTGGAAGAGAACTATGTAAGCCACTTTGTGTTCCTTACAAAAGATTAAAAGGTGGGATATGAATGTGGCCTAGTAATTACTGGTAAAACAGGGCTGGAATGCATGATAGACTATAAAAAGCAAGTTTTTCTCATGCATGCAGCAACATACTGCTTTTGTTAGACAGATGTTGTCCAAAATATTCTACCTTTTTACAAAGACCATGTTATATTGGAATGGGTACTTTGCTTGTGCATACTATACACAAAGTATTTGTGCACAAATGTTTGTACATTGGAGGTATTGTACTTCTAGACAGAATTGTATCACATGAAGCTGTAGTGCATTGAGTTGCTGCAGCCCATAATTTATTTATTTATTTATTTAAAACATTTTTATGCCACCCCCATTGCAACGAAGACTCGGGGCGGCTCACAACAGAAACAGAATTCATAAATAAATAACAATATAACAATAAAAAAATTATTTAAAAACCTCCGGTGCATCTCAGCTAAAAATTTAAAATCCTATAAATACAAATAATTTAACAATTAAAATAAGTTTTAAATAAAAAGGTCTTAGCCTGGTGTCAAAAAACATAACGGCGCCAGGCAGACCTCTCTGGGGAGCGCATTCCATAGATGGGGCACCACCGCAGAGAAAGCCCTCCTCCGGATACTCACCTTCCTAATATCATTCACAGAGGGTTCCCGGAGAAGGGCATCTGTTGCTGATCTCAAGGGGTGGCAGGGCATATATGGACACAAGCGTTCCTTTAGATATCCAGGTCCCAAGCCGTTTAGGGCTTTATAGGTCATAACCAACACCTTGAATTGGGCCTGGACTTCAATCGGGAGCCAGTGGAGCTGACGGAGAACTGGGGTTATATGAGAAGAACGCCCAGTCCCCGTCAGCAACCTGGCAGCTCTATTCTGCACCAACTGAAGTATCTGGACTGTCTTCAAGGGTAGCCCCACATAGACCGTGTTACAGAAATCTAATCGGGAAGTCACCAACGCGCGTGTCACTGTCGCCAGGCAGTCGTTCTCCAGGAAGGGACGCAGCTGATGTATCAGCCGAAGCTGAAGGAAGGTGCTCCTCGCCACCGCTGTCACCTGAGCTTCTAGAGATAGCTCAGGGTCGAGGAGCACTCCTAAGCTGAGAACCCTGTCCCTCAGAGGGAGTGCAACCCCATTTAGGACAATGCCCAAGTCCCCCATCCCGAGGCCTGAGCCACCCACCAACAGGACCTCCGTCTTGTCTGGATTGAGCTTCAGTTTATTCTAATATCCTGGAGAAGATAGTAACATCTTGAGGCTCAGTTAGTTACAGTATGGGATGTATTGGAGTAGACTGCAGGATAGAGTATCTACTCTCTGTCCTACATGTTCTCATGCAAGGCCCTGCCTCTTCAGAGCTAGCAGAGGGAGGAATTCCTCTGTCCAGTAAATGGAGAAAGCAGTAAGGATTCTTTTAGTGCATCCCAAGTTCTGATGGAGGGACCACATCACATCCGGATGATATGCCTTGATCTCGTGACATCAGATCCACAAAAGGCTAGGTGGCAATTTTAGGGAGATGGATAAATTTTGAAGACAGTTTTGTAACTGCTATATGAATAAATTTATGTAATATTGCTCCCACACTCTGCCACTGGATAGCATCATAAATCAGTATCACTAAACAAAATGTGATTCTGTCTAATATTTCCTCCTTTTGGCAAAGGAGTTCAGGCTATGTGG